CTTCTATACAACGAAAGGAGACTGCGACCACACAAAAGGCCACACCATCTTGGTCTTCATATCTTTACATTATTTAGTTACCTTAATAATATTTTAAAACCTTAATTGCGGCATTTGGCTTAGTTTGTATAGGTTTTCAAGGAAATATTCCGACATTTTCGCATACTATAGTTGGAAAAATATGCTTCCCATAAGCTTATTTCCCAAGTCCCTTAACTTTGCTATAAAGGTCATATTTTGGACAAAAAATGAATTTCGATTTATCTTTGTTTGTTTGTTGGCTTACTACTGAGATGAATTAGACGACTTCAGAAAATTTAATCTGTTGCTACAACATAGCTCGACGTGTAACATTTTTTTATACATAACACATTAATTTCTTGTAATTTTTCCGTACCTGACGTCAATATTTCCTCTATACTTGAACCTATTAGTACGCATTTTCTAATTAGTTTTTAAATGCTCCAACTAAAAATCCTATGCCTTATTAAGTAAATTCGAACATTAATTACTACAAAAATATTCACAGGAGCACTTTATTTTTATTTTCCTTATTTTTTGCATATTTCTTATGACGCTTGATTGACATTTATATCGTATTTTGGATTTATAAATAGGGTATCGAAATCTTAAATAAATAATGTTAATAGATCTCATATTCATATCGTATGTTTGTTCAAATGACATTAATTTCTTCGTTCTATTTCCCTAATCAATATATATTTCTTACATTTCTACTTGTTATTCTAACTCTAGAAATGGTGAATTGATTATCAGTCTCCATATAATTATATATTAAGCTATCCTGTCTTTTCCTTAATTCGTTTTCATACCCTTTCTTTATCTAGCAACCAAGAAGAAATCCCCGGAAGAACTTGATTCTACTGTATTAACTAATCCTTGTACTAAAACTTCCAGTATCCCCGAAGATAAAAGTCAATCTTCAGACAATATAGAAATTACGTGTAGCTCCACTCTTTCACATTCAAGCCCAAATCGCCTCATCAACTCTCCAGAGTCATCGTCTTCCAAATCGAAGTCGAGTGCATCTAATAAAGATTTTTCTTTAAAGTTGCATACCCTAAATCTCGGCACTTCGAAGTCACTTGTAAATACTCACGCCTTAGTCTCACCTCCGAATTCGGATGCAACTAATGAACTTCCGCCTGATTTGGCTATCTCGGCTTCAGAAATGGCCAGACTAGAATCTACAGGGCCTATGTCGAAATCCTCTGATAGTATTGACCAGCAAGAAGCAGACAAGGCGGTAGAAGCAGGATCTGGACTTAAGTTAAGTACTCCTTTGCGAAGCCGCTCAATCTCTTTGGATAACAGAATCTTGCATGAGTTTATTGCCGCTAATCAATCGCTGCTTGGGCCTAACCGACGTGTTGACAACTTTCTTAGCGTAACCGGCGGCCAAATTGAGGCCCTTATGCTTGTTCCTTTATCTCTTCCTGTTGGCATTAATGACCAATCTTCTGACTCTGCCACAATAGGGTCTGTTTCTAGTTCCAATCCTTGTTCAAGTTCGCCCGCCTCCCGTAACGATCTAAGAACTGGCCCACTTAATATGTCTTCACCACAAATTCAACGACTAAACTCATCTATGGCACAAAAAGGACTATCTGTGAAAAATCTCTCAGGTGTAGAAACCCCATCTGATCAATCTGTACAGACCACCAATCCCTCGACCTCATCCCTGGTTTATAACTTGTCTTCGCTAGCTTATACCGAGGATGCAGAAGAAATGAAATTTGCACATATTCTGAGTCGCCTCTCAGCCACTCTACCATTAGATTTTGCAGCTCCACGTGAACTTCCTATTCTGCAGAATGCGGAAAAATATTCTTCTATTGTGCTTTCCTTGCGCTGTCAACTAGATTCCTTCATTCAAGCCGGCGAGTATCTCGGTCGTACATCAGAACTTCTGAGAGTAAGAATATATAGTGTGGGGTTTGTATGAGATTTATGTATATGACATTTGTAGCTTTGATGCAATATAAAAAATCAATTTGGGATATTCGAGTCTGTAGTTCGTTCTGTTACCCCGCCTTATATTAAATAGGTATAAGTAGTCACCACTTAATTTCATACACTTCTCTTTAAATTGTTGGGTTTTTTCTTATTTATAGTCTCTATACTCTGCAAATTGTTTACTTATTAACCACTGTCTGGTGGCCTGTTTTTTAATAAGCTCAAATCACTGAATCCGTAAGCATTCACATACAGTTTTTTGTTCAGATTACTATTTAAGTCTTGTTTGATAGGACTCTTCCACAGGCACTACCAAATTAGCAAAACATCTTATAAGAATCTGATCTTAAAAGACAATCTGAATATCCTAGATAAGAATATAATCGAGGAATGCCAGTTTATATGCATTTATAATATCCAACTTCTTACTCATTCTTATACAATTATCTTTCCAATAGCTCCCAATAGCGAGAAAATTTAACCTTTTTCTATACATAATATTTTTTACTTTTATATTCATATATCAGATTTGCCGAACTAATTGAAATCGACTAATACGCTAATTAACATAAATAATTGAGAATCTTTACCCTTGACTCCAGAATTTCAGAATGATCATGTTGAATAATTAAAGAATATTGCTGTTTAATCAACTTTAATAGATTTGGATCGATAGTTAAAGAAAAGCAAATTTGTCAATAATTCTGTAAAATGATGGTTTTTAAGTTCAGAACAAGGTCCTAAATCTTATTTGAAATCCTGATATAGCTTGGCAAAATCGAAACAGCACTTCATTCTATATAAGAATGCCTTCTCAATGACTTTCTCAACGCAATTGACATCGCGAGGCCTACTTACCTTATTGTGGAAAAGTTATCTTTCCTATAAATTTTGTTGCACGACATGAGTGGATTTACGTGTTAAATGCTTTTTGGAGTGATGCCTAAGGTCTATCAATTAAATTTTATTCAGTATGTTCAAAGGCCTGGTTTTTTTCCAACTCTTAAACTGCGATAGCGCATAAAGCGGATTAAAAGGAGTCGGTGTCTCTATGACCATTTCATGCAAGTTTTACAGAAACTGGTCTGGTGAAGAAAACTTTCTTCCTTAAGTTACTTTTGAAATGGGGCAAAGTATAGACCAAGACAATAAACGCAGTAATAAATCATAAGATATGGTCATATTCAAGATGTACATCAATGTATGATAAAGAATCGTTTTGGCGAGACTAAACACAATTCAGGAGAATGTTTTATATTGTAAAAATAATACATTTAATAGGGAAGTGTGCATAGTTTATGGCTACCAGTAAATTATTGGATCGTATTTTGATCTGATTTTAGCAAATAGCATAGAGAATATTTTATTTTATATATCCAACGAAAAGCTAGATTTTAAAGGATCGCCTAACAATTTTATTTAATTTGAGCATTTATTTTGTTTGAAAAGTT